TCTAGCAGGTAACCTTGTCAACAAAGACTTTAGTGTGTGTATGTGTGAGAGAGTGATTTATATTTTCAGGCTACAAGTTTGCAAATCATTACAGGTATTCCTTGACTTACAACTGAAATGGAGCCTGCTCATTACAATTGTTGGTTGTGATAGTCATAAAGTGGGTCACCCATTTGAGTGACCCAACTTTGTGACTTTGCAGGGCTCATTAAGTGTACCCATTGTTTGTACTTTTGGCTTTGCGAAAAATAAGAAGTGAATGCTGTTTTTTGGTCAGAAATTGTACAACAATCTTGTGATCATGGGATGCCGCAAACAGCTGTAAATGCAGGCTGGTTGCCAAGTGACTGCCAGTGGGGACGGACGGACAGACGACAACCATCAGACCTGTCAAATGGTTGCTAAGCAACCAGTGGTAAGCCAAGGACTGCCTGTCCGGTATCTCTTTTCTGTGTCTCTAGATGGAGGGAGGAGCTGGCAAATGGCTGCACTTAAGAAGTGGCTCCGGTCAGAGCTGTCTCTTCAGTCCAGCATTAGCCGCGACTGGTGATGACAGTGGGGGCAGAGCTGCCCTGAAGCTGTTCCTCAGAGCTGTGGCTCGCAGATGCACCTCCCTGGGTCATTCACCAGCCAAGATCGACAACACAGGTTAAAAATAAGACCCATTCTTAAGTCTTTTAACTTGATTTTATAGGTAAGCCAGAACCTGGGGCACAGAGAAGTAACTTTTACTTACAAATGAACTGCCTAAAAATGGTGGACAATGTTCTCCTTTCTCAAGCTAAGAAACTGCTTGAAGCTGCGTGATGCTTTCAGGAGCACCAAAAACAGCTGGGTAGTAGAAATGTGCGGCTTCAGCGGTCCCCCACCTTAAGGAAGAATGCCATTCAACATTTTTAGCAACAGGTGGCTAAAGTAAGTCTGAGTTGTCCCTAAGTCAGATGTTCCAGAGACAACCAGTAGTGCAGGGATGCAGCAGCGTCCCTCCCCACCCCAGAAAGGGAGCTTGCCTTCTTGGCATGCAGAGCCTGAGGGGAATGTGCTGAGCCCTCCAGGAGAGAAGGGAGTTCCCTCCGGCCCCCCAGGAATCTGCAGCCAAGGGGCAAGCTTTCTGGTCTCCCTTAGGGAACCCCACACATCATTTTGGCATCATTGCAAAACAGCAGATACCTCAAGCACACGCCTTGAAAGCCGCTGTTCAGGAACCAAAAACCATGAGCGCCAGCAAGGCACTTCCGTATTTCCTCCTCCTGGATTCTCACCTCCATCAGGAACAAAGGTAAGTCCATCACTAGCTGGATCTGTTGCAGCTAGGACCAGAGTGCTAGTGTCCCTGCTGAGGTGCCTTAAGTTCCTAAGGAAATGTGGGGGGGGGGGAAGCTGCTTTGTCAGAGGTCGCAGGTCCTGGTTATGGGCTGAGCAGGATAGGTCCTGTTTGTCCCTATGAACTGGTCCTGGAAGTGTCCAGTTCATAGGGGAGGGCTGCGCTTTCCAAAGAGGCTTCAGTGAGGCTGAAGAAGAAAAAAGGATGGCATTCCACAGATCTGCACTCATGAGCCAGACAAAAATTGATTTTAGTTTGACCTATTGGAACAGTATTGACCTGTTGCCTTGTTTTCAGGATTTCCACTGCAGGGAAATTGAAGTTTTTCATTAAGAGCCTTTGCATATCTGAAGCAACCAACCTGGAAGTTAATGGCTTTTGAACTGGAAGCCCAGTGAAGGATAAGAGGGATAAGAGCCAGGTTAAGAATTATTCCCCCTAAATGTGAACATGCCATGCATGGCATAAGGATCTGGGACCCCCTTCCTCTGAGCTGTCCAACTTCTTTCAGTAGACTTGAGAGGTTTCACACCACGTGCGGAGGTCTCCAGAACTGAACTGTACATTTATATATTCAATTCCTGCGTGAGACTTCCCCACCCACAATGAAACAAGTTGCTTTGTGCTAATTTATTGCATTCTTGGGTAAGCTAGTAACTTCTTTCCCTTATCTTTACATTTTTCTTTTCCCTTCCCCTTTATCAAATGCCGCACTAACATTGTGTCACCGTTGCTTCGGTTGCCAATCAATCTCTAGAATAGAATAGAATAGGATAGGATAGGATAGGATAGGATAGGATAGGATAGAACAGAACAGAACAGAACAGAACAGAACAGAACAGAACCTGGAAGGTACCTTGGAGATCTTCTAGTCCAGCTCACTGATTAAGCAGGAGAACCTATATACCATTTCAGATAAGTGACCGTCCAGTCTCTTCTTAAAAACCTCCAGTGATGGAGCCCCCACAATTTCTGAAGGCAACTTCTGTTCCACTGGTAAATTATCCTCACTATCCTCACAGAGATAGCTGTCAAAATAAAATACTTTCTCTTGGGAATCAAGGACGTTCTCATACCTGGCTGAAGGAGGAGTGATGTCACCAGACCAGCAGATGTTACGTTGATTGGGCCATGTGACTGATCGTTTGAGACGGGGGGGGAAACGTTTACTTTTAATTAGGTGAAAACCAAGGGCCCCTTCAGAGTTGGTTTTCACCAGATATGTGCCAATTTGATATTTCCATATACACACACAGTGTATATATACGTGTGTATATGTATATATATGTGTGTGTGTTTAGTATATGTATATACGTATAACACTAATATATAGTGCTCATTTTCACAGAAAGCAGCTAGCTTGCCAGTTCACCAAGATTGGCAACTACACATAATTTTATTGTTATAGTTGAATAAATTTTAAGAACCTTTCTCCAAGCAGACTTTGCTACAGATAAGTTTTTATGTGTGACTATAAAGAGAAAACCAGCATATCCTGTGAGCATATCATGGGGGTTACAGGATACCTACTGCCTTGAACTGGAAATAATTGTACCTCTCAAAGATCATTTATCGGGCCTTAATACTGCTCCAACTGATACAGCCCTCGACTTACAACAGTTTTTAGTGACCATCCAAAGTTATGACACTAAAAACGTGACATAGGACCTTTTTCTACACTTATGACCATTGCAGCATCCCCAGGGTCATGTGATCAAAATTCAGACACTTTTTTTTTTTTAATTTGATTTATATGGCGCCCTTCTCCGGAGACTCAGGGCGGCTTACAATGTGCTCAGCAATAGCCTTCATCCTTTTGTATATTTATACAAAGTCAACTTATTGCCCCCACAAACTGGGTCCTTGGCAACTGACATATTTATGATGGTTGCTGTGTCCCAAGGTCATTATAAATGAATCTGGCTTCCCCAGATTCATTTAACAACTTCAGTGCTTCACTTAACAACTGTGGCAAGATAGGTTGGAAACTGGGGCAAAACTCACTTAACAAATGTCTCACTTAGCAACATAAATCTTGGGCTCAATTGTGGTCATAAGTCAGTGACTACCTGTACTGATTCAGAGTTGCTCACAACATTCCCTATTAGTAACAGAAAGGAGCAGGTGGTGGTTCCCCTGATTTAGACAAACAGTGGTTAGGCAAATGCCCACTCGATGTCTTTCGGCCATGCCGGGAAAGCAAGCCTGGTGAAACTTGTGGCTTGTTTATACCTGGGCTAAGATGCAGCTTAGCAATACATTCATGTATTTCTTACATGAAAATACCCAGAAAAGAAAAGGAAGCCACTTGTGCAGAACAATTGGAAATACAGCATTACAGGATGCATGGGATTGAAAAGCCACACCGTCCTCAAAATAGACCGTTTCAGTGTTGATTTCCAAATGATAAAGCAAATTAAATCTAGACATCCATTCTTCATAACCAGCTTCATCCCAAATATTTTTGCGTACAAAAGACACATTCAAACAGGTCATTTCTCCCCAAATTTTGCTGAAATGTGGGAAAAACTAAAATAAGGCCAAAAGCTGTTCACTTTTAAAATTTCTCTGAGCTATACAAGAGAATGATGGAAAGAGCCAGTTTGGTCTAGTGTTTAGCAAGGCACAGGACTTGAAACTGAGAGACTGTACTTTCTAGTTCCGCCTGAGGCAAAAAAGGAGCTGGAGGACCTTAGGCCAGGCCCTCTCGCAGCCTTGGAAGGTAAATCACTTCCAAAAAAGGTAGCCAAAAAATCTTCAGGGGTTAGTGTCCAGACAGTCACCAGGAGTCAACAATGACTCAAGGGAAAAAGCAAAAAGAAATGAAGCAAAAAGAATGATTTTCTTCTGGCAAGTGCCATGAGCTGCAGAACAATAGAGCCTCTTGGTCTCTACAGAGGGATGGATAAGAGCCACAGCAGGGACTCTCCATCGAATGCTTAAAAATCCTTAGAAAGACGAACAGGCCTTTGCTTCCATCTTTGCTTTTGAAAGATGGAAGCAGAAAGATAAATCTTATGTCACAAGATGCTGCCATTTTTGCTGTTTTTTTCTAGAACCAGAGCATTTTGCAAAGAGTTGTTTTTTTGAAGCCTCTGTGCTTGTTTTTTCTCATCTATATTAACCTGGAGAACAGATATGGTGGACTTCTCCTGTTATTTCTGTCCTTCACTAATGTTTCCTGTAAGAGCACAAGGGTTTAAGAAAGGACAGGGTTTGACCTCAATTGTACAGATGGCTGAAGGACAGAAAAACAAGAAATGCCTGTTTTTTAAGCAAAATACTGCATTATTGTATATAAGCACCTGCCCAAGGCTGGTGAGCCTCCCTTTCTATGTAACAATAGCATTCATTAGCAGACAATTGCCCTAAATATATATTAACCATTACTTTAATTTAGGACATGTTCATGTCACTTGCAATAGCTGGTTTTTACTATTAGAGGGAATAATGAGCTAAGAAAAGGCGTCTACATTTCAAGCAGTCCTCTAAAGCTTATTATGCCAGATGATCCCCTGTACATATGAGCATTTCAAGAAGGGGTGAATAATTTTCCAATTCATCCAATGCTACTTCCTTCATTTACTTGTAGCCTCAAACCTTAGCAGCTGAATGTGTGAATGGCCTCCATTATGTATCTGAAAGAATATGAGATATTTGCCCATGGAATCCAAACTGGTATCATTGTTCTTCATTGTCAATGTGTAACAATAAAGTCAGGGTGCCTAGATTTTCCATCAAATTTTAAAACAGAGAAGTAGACAATTAATCTGGACACAAACAGTAAGCATAGAAGGGGGAAAGGGATATAATAGGTCCCAGAATTTTAAAATAAACATATTCAAGGTGCAATATCAAATAGAGTAGTAAAAACACAACATTTCTGAAATATTCAGCAGTGAAAAAGATCTAGGACAAAGTGAACAAATATTTGTAATAAAAAACAAATACATTAAATTGGCCTTCATATTAATAGTAATACACACAAACATTAATTAAATTGAACTGCCGGTGCCTAAACATTGAAAGAACAACTCTGAATAAAATCTCCTCTAGCTGAGGATTGGGCTGCGCTCAAAGTGATCAGGAATGCCATCAAACCGGCCAAAGTCGCGCCTGCTGTGCTCAACCCACTGGCTGAGACTGAATCTCTGAGTTTTGCTGTGACTCCGTTTGCTGTAGTTCCTACGTAGGGAAGGCATTTTACAAAAACAGGAAGAAAGAAAAAAACGTCAGTGCAAAACTTGGAGACAAAAGAGCAGCAACCCAACCCTGGAAACCGTCCCATTTTTTTTTTCTTGAGGAAGCTTTCCACACAAATACTGGGAGCCCCCTCCTCACTTTTCAACCTGGGACACCAGTAAATGGAGCATGGGAACTACAGACTGGGTCCCCTTCCTAGCCTGCCTTCTGTTCCCTTTTAGGCCTAAGACCAGCTGCCTTCTCTTTGCTGACTTGATCCAGTCCCATTTCAAAAACTGCAGCCTCCATGCCACAGCCATTGTCCAACCCACGGAAGCACATTCCTCAAGAAATTTGTATTATTTTTTTATTAGAAGTGTGTTATATTATCTTTCAACAAAACTACCATGTTGATCAGAATTCAAAGCACTATCAGAGGATTTGGGAGAAAGGGGAGTTTTTATTTCTATTGCATTACAAAGGCTTCCTTTGCTGTTTTGAGTCTTCATGAGTGATAGAACTAACACTCAATTTATGACCGGTTGCTTAGTGACTGTACAAAGTTAAAGTGGATCTTCCCCAAAGGCATTTACAACCTGGTTCCAGTCATGTGACTGCATTTTGGATTCTTGGCAATAAGCCCACATTTTATGGCTGACTGCATGGGAGTGCAATTTACAAAGTTTTTGCTGAAAACTGGTGTTTGCTTCCAGTTTTCGGCAAAAACACCACATAGCAAATAATGAATTTGCTTAATGACTGCCACATTCGCCTAATGATCACTGCAAAAAGGTCGTAATCAGTCAATCATGTGGGTGATCTGCTTTATGACCGTCATGACTTACAACTGTAACGGGCAGCTCCATTAGTCATAATTTGAGGACTGCTTCTCCTGTAGTTCAGGTGAAGAGAATGTTCAGGCAAGTCTGATTCTGCTGCCTGTTTCTACAGATGTTTAGCTAGCATGTCAAGGAAATTTTCTACCCTGGGCATTAACCTTCCTCTTCCTCTCCTAGATCTTTTTTCAGATAAAAAGTCTATGCTTAGAGTTAAATAGATGCTTCAACACATTATCTTTTTAAAATAATCACTTTTATAATGATCTCTCACATTATAAAAATATTTTTCTTTTCAGTTGTATAATTTTATCCCCAATTTGTTTTATTCAATTATTGTTCACCTCAGGGAAATAAATGCTCAAAAAGAGCATTTGTATCTTTAATTCATATGCATCCAGAAATCTCACTGTTATTCAACTACACTGTGATCTTTGTCACCCAAATATCAGTACATGTAAGTAAGGATATTTTGCCAACCTGATAGATAGTAAATTCTAGTTCCTCAAACTTGAAATAATGATACCTATTTTTACATGCTACGAGATCTGCAAAGCTGCTTCCCAGGAAAAACTTGCCACCAAGTTCTCCCTGTCCTCTTAGAGGCCTCGTACCTTACGGTCAAGTCTGTTGGGTGGTTGTAACTGGATTCGGACGCGACTGTATCTACCAGTGTGTGCAACTCATGGACAGTGTCTGAAATTCAGCAGAACAGAAGATTAATCAAAACATGACAGTTAGGGGGGAGATTCTGCTACTAACAACATTTTGGAATCTATTTTTCACTAACCAAAGAAAGAAAGAGACAATCCTTAACGTAAATTGAGAAACAGCATACAGTAAAAGAAGACTCAGAGGCTTTGGGGATTGCATTTGCTCAGTGCCAAGAAAATTCCAAGTGCTGCTTGATTAAATATATGATAAAGGAGAGATTCTTAAAATCAGTTTTTTTTCCTGTCCAGTTTGTCCTCCAACCAGCAGTCCAACACTATTTAACTTTAATCAGTCCAACGTTTTCTAAGCTACCATTTTTCACTAAATAGCTAGACCAAAACAGTTCACCTAACAGGATACTTTAAGAAAAGCTCAAATCCTCTAGTCATAGAGGGTACAAAAATCTCAAATCTCATACTAAACAGAGATACACAATGGAAAAACAGAATCCTTTTTCTTTCACTTACACCACTTTTCTCAATATATACATGGTAAATATTCCAGGAGTGATGCATCTGTTAGTACTACATGTGTGAAAAACTGGAAACTAGTATTAAAAGTACTGTATTGTTATCTTCCTGAAAGGACCACAACCACCTGCAAATAAGCCATTACAATAAACTCAACTCCTTCTATTGAAACTCAAGGGGTTCTTAGACACACAGGAGAAGCAAACTGCAATCCCCAACAGCCTGACACATGACACCCCCCCCCCCCCCGTTCTTAAGCCACTATCGTAACCTGGCCTGTATTGTAACAAAAGAGCTGGCATGTGTTAGTGTGTTCAACCAAAGAGGGGCAGCACCCACCCCACAAAGCCCCCCTGAAGCCCCATAGCTAGAATTTTATGGTAGGGAGACCAAACCTCCAATGCTTATTCAACCTTAGGACCCTAGATAAACTCTGTGCCTGTTGCCACAAATTTAGTACGCCATTTTGAGACCTTTGGGATCGAAGCAATAATTATACAATGTATCACAATTATTACTTAATTATGAAAGTAAATAATAGATTACATCAATTTTGTAAACTGTGGTCTACAATAATTGTCTACAATAATTGCAATCAAACAATCATGTGGTAGTTTTGTGTGCTGTCAACCTGAACTAAGTTTTACCAATAGATTTTGTAATGAAGCTCCTGTTTGGATGACAAAGCAATCCGATCAAGTTTGTCCAACATGGCCAACCAATCATCTAAAGACTAAATGACTGCACTCTCATACAACATGCTGAAACTTGGTTGGAACAGAGTTTGGTATATTGCATGAATCCAGCCTGTTGCTTAGTTTACATTTCAATGTATGTTGCAAGTTAATTCTTTTATAAAATTAGGTATATTCTGTGAATTCACCTGCAAATTATAAGCAAAATTCCTTCCAGAACTCTCTTAGAAGATTGATAAGCTTCCACCCAAACCTCCATGCCGCCTGACCCCATCTCTGGCCTGGATGAAATGGAAGTCTTTTCTTGAACAAACCCCATTCCTCCCAGTGGAAAGGATAGCCAAGAACCCTGGAATGTGCTAATCTCCACATTGACCTTAGTGATATTTCCATCACCCACAACTCCCCTTTTACCTTTGCACTTACCTATGAGAGACGGGACAGAGCTAGCATGGTTAAGTACGGCATTAACGTATCTCGCTTTTCTTGACTCAAGGTCTGCTTCTTGAATTAATATCTGTTTAGGCTTTACAGGACTAGAAGAGAGGGGAAAAAAATAACAATCTGCAAATGTACCACAAATGATCTTCTAGGAAAGATCAAATTACTAGGAAAGTTTTGAAAGCTAAAGCAAGACATAATTGCACAGAAGTTGTTTCTGCTATTTTCAGACAACCAAAAATAAAAAAGATTTTACTTCCAAATTTTAAAAATTTGTATTCATGAATGAACTGCTTGACAAGACATTACATTAAACATCTTTCTAAATAACGAACAATGGAGTGAATGTCTACTCCATTTTCAGTCAAAAATTCAATTTTAACATTTGCTCCCAGTGTAACTTTTCAATAAACTATAAAATGGGGAAAGGAAAAATACCAATATACCATCTGCTCAACGAAGAAAGGAAAACAATAACAGATAATAAAGAAAAGCTGTAGCAATGCTTTGTTCAAGCTTCTCCAACAAAAACTCTGTGTTCCACCATGAAATTGTGTCAGGATTAAAGCTCAGGCTTGACAGAAACATGGTCAGGGAATTTATTTTTACTTGAATTTAAAACTCCAGGATCATATGAACAGCATTCCTGGATATTAACTGAAATAGTTTATTTAAAAAAAAAATACTGCCAAATTCCAAAAGGACAGAAGATGGTATACAAAAAAATGAAAATGAAGTAACAGTAATATAGAAATAAAAAATAATCTTTAAAACGGCCTAAGTACACCATATTTTTACAAAATAATAAGTCACTTTTTCTGTTGACTGTTTTTAAGAATTCTGAAGTTCAGTAGTGACACAGTCATCCAAATTTCTAGTGGAGCTTGTTCCATAGGATAAAGTGATGCTGACTCTGTAAACCGCTTAGAGAGGACTGTCTAAGCACTATTGCTATTTCTTGCTTTCCCATGAAGCTTATATCCCTACCAAATCTACGTGCATTAGATGGGAAAGATCTATACGTAGATGATGCAATAGATGTTGGATGCCAAGCTACTCAGATGTTGGTAACCTCAACTAATGACCAGTCATTTTAAGTTATGAAGGCTTGGAAAGGCTGCTTTACGCTCTGTAAAGCAATTCTGGATGCTGTAAAACATTGTGCAGGTCACACACACACACCATCTATCACAAGATCATGATTTGGATGCTGAGCAACCTATTCACGCTGAAGATCAGTTGCCAAGGTCCCTGAGATCATGTGATCACAATCTTCTCTGCCAGCTTTCCCAGAAAGTCAGTGGGGAAACCAACAGGGAAGGTTGCACGCTGCTGCTGGCTGCCAAAAGATTTCCCTTCCACCTCATGAATGGGGGTGAGGTGCAGGAATAAGTGAAGCTGCAAAAAAAAAAAAAAGCTGGAATCTTCAAGATTGGAGCTTTCTTTCTCCAGCCCATACATGGCGAGAGCCTCCTGCCCGTTTTAGGCAGAGACCTTGTTTCAGCTCCATCCGCTTAACAACCAGTATGGTTACTTAAGAACTGTAACTGGGAGAACCAGGACTGCAGTCACTGAGAAAAATGGTCTCGTGGGTGTCTTGCTTAAGAACCACTTTGCTAAACAACTACGATTCCAGTCCCAATTGTGGGTGAGGATTTGAATCACCAAACACTTGTATTTGTTAATTACTAGAAGTCAACATGGATTTTCAAGAACAAATCTTATCAAACTATTCTTAATTCATCTTTTGAATGGATAATTGCCTTGATTGTAGAATGCTGAATAATTTATCCAGCAAAATATCTGATAAAAATACATCATGAGATTTCAATTATTTAGTTAAAAATAGGCAACATGGCATGACATTTCATCCATCATCGTCATTCTAGGCATTGTCTACCCACTGCGAGATGAAGACCTCTTCTGCCTGTTTCCAATCAATGCGGTCCTGAGCTTTCTTTTGCCAATTGGGCTCTCAATACTTGCTGATTTTATTTATTTATTTATTTATTGGTTCGATTTATATGCCGCCCTTCTCCGGAGATTCAGGGCAGCTTACAATGCGTTAAGCAATAACCGTCATACTTTTGTATATACCTGCTTAGTAGGGCTTTCGGCCCCCCCAAGCGGTGTTCTTTTTATACAAAGTCAGCTTATTGCCCCCACAATCCGGGTCCTCATTTTACCTACCTCGGAAGGATGGAAGGCTGAGTCAACCTTGAGCCTCGTGAGATTTGAACTCGCAGTAATTGCAGGCAGCTGGCAGCTAAGTGCTACTTAACAGCACTTTAGTCCACTGCGCCACCAAGGCTCTTCAATCCATCTTGTCAATCCGTCTTGTTTTAGGCCTCTTTCATGGACGCTTTTGATCAAGTGGGATCCATTCTATGACTGCCTTGGTCCACCTGCCATCCGTTCTTCTTGCTAGGTGACCAGCCCATTTCCATTTCAATTCTTTGACTCTCTTGATGATTTGTTTGGTTTGTTCTCTAATCCATGTGCAGGTCTTTCTATCTTGCTTTGTGATGCCAAGCATGTATCCTTTCATGGTTCTTTGCACCACTCATAGGTTTTGTATCGATTGTGAGGTTAGTGTCCATGTTTCAATGGCATGTTAGAGCAGGTAGTACACACTGATCAAAAACTTTTCTCTTCAGGCATAGGGGGAGGTTGTTCTTGAGAATTACATTAAACATTTAACACACTGTTCAATTTCCTTTATTGTATCACCTTCTACTGAGATCCATTGGTCAAGGTATATGAAGTGGTCTACTACATTTAGTCTCTGCAGGTATAATTTTTTTTTCTTTGGTGAATTTGTTAAACATAACCTGGCTCTTTTTCAGTTTTATTTTAAGTTAAATGCTTCTCCTGCTTTGTGCAGCTCTTGCATGTGTAGGTCTTCTCGATCTTCTCGGCCTTATGAAAACATCATCATCTGCAAACCTTAAGTGATCATCTGCAATAGGCGCCATTAATTTTTATTCCATCTTTTGCTAAGTCTAGTTTGCAAAATACTTCTTTAAGGCAGGCTGAGAAAAAGATAGGTGATATTGTCTTGTCTTGTCGTACACCTCATTCTATGTTGATTTCCACTTTAAGATCATTAAGGCAAATTGTTGCCATTGTACTTTTCATGTATTGATTGTAGTATATGTAAGCAGTGTCTACGCCTTGGTTGAGAGCAATGCCTTAATTATTGCTTGCTGGAATATGGAGTCGAACGCTTTTTTCGTAGTCAATGAAAGCAATGCACAGAGACCTGATGTACTCATTGTGCCTTTCAATGACTTGCTGAAGAATATGGATGTGATCCATTGTGCCGTAGCCACTTCGGGACCCTGCCTGCTACTTTGACTGCATCATTTAATGTTCTCAATATTCTTGTTGCTATTATCTTGGTGAAAACCTTGTAGATGACTGAAAGGAGGCTTATTGGGCAATTCTTTAAATCATTTTTTTTTAATTTATATGCCGCCCTTCTCTGGAGACTCAGGGTGGCTTACAATGTGTTAAGCCTTCATACTTTTGTATATATTTATACGAAGTCAGTCTATTGCCCCCACAATCTGGGTCCTCATTTTACTTACCTTTGAAAGGATGGAAGGCTGAGTCAACCTTGAGCCTAGTGAGATTTGAACTTGCAGTAATTGCAGGCAGCTGATGTTAATAACAGTGCTTTACTCTGCTGCGCCACCAGGGTTCTTTTTGGGCCCCTTTCTGGTGTATATTTATTTATTTATTTATTATATTTCTATATAATATGAAATCACTTCAGCATTTTTCCATGCATCGGGTATTTTTTCTTCTCTGAGGCATCTTGAGTATAGCTTTGCTAGTATCTTGTGTAAAATATGACCAACAGCTTTTACGATGTCAACCGTAACACAGTCATTTCCTGAAGCTTTGCCATTTTTCATTGATTTTATGGCACTTGATACTTCCTCCACCCGGATAACTGGCATTTCCTCTTTCGTGGGTGTTGTTACTTGAAATAGAAATAGAATAACAGCGTTGGAAGGGAACCCCCTGCCTAGGCAGGAAACCCTACACCACTTCAGACAAATGGTTTTCCAACATCTTCTTATAAACTTCCAGTGTTGGAGCATTCACAACTTCTGGAGGCAAGTTGTTCCACTGATTAATTGTTCTAACTGTCAGGAAATTTCTCCTTAGTTCTAAGTTGCTTCTCTCCTTGATTAGTTTCCACCCATTGTTTCTTGTCCTACCCTCAGATGCTTTGGAAAAGAGCTTGACTCCCTCTTCTTTGTGGCAGCCCCTGAGATATTGGAACACTGCTATCATGTCTCCCCTAGTCCTTCTTTTCATTAAACTAGACATACCCAGTTCCTGCAACCGTTCTTCATAGGTTTTAGCCTCCAGTCCCCTAATCATATTTGTTGCTCTTCTCTGCACTCTTTCTAGAGGCTCCACATCTTTTTTACATTTGGCGACCAAAACTGAATGTAGTATTCCAAGTGTGGCCTTACCAAGGCACTATAAAGTGGTATTAACACTTCACGTGATCTTGATTCTATCCCTGTTTATGCAGCCTAGAACTGTGTTGGCTTTTTTGGTTGTCCACTAGGACTCCAAGATCCATCTCACAGTTACTATTACAGGTACATATACTGTACCTGTGCATTTTGCTTTTCTTGCCTACATGTAGAACCTTACTTTTTTCACCATTGATTTTCATTTTGTTAGATAGCGCCCAATGTTCTAGTCTGTCAAGATCCTTCTGTATCTTAAGCCTATCTTCTGGCTATTCCTGCCAGCTTGGTGTCATCTGCAAATTTGATGAGTTCCCCATCTATCCCCTCGTCCAAGTCATTGATGAAGATGTTGAAGAGTACTGGGCCTAAAACAGAACCTTGGGGTACTCCACTGCATACCTCCCTCCATGTAGATGCAGTTCCATTGAGGATTACACATTGAGTGCAGTTGGTCAGCCAGTTATGAATCCATCTGATGGTAATGCTGTCTAACCCACATTTTTCTACTTTATCTAGTAGTAGGTTATGGTCTACTTTATCAAATGCCTTACTGAAGTCCAAGTAAATTATATTGACAGTATTCCTCTGATCCACTAATT